TGATGAAGCTAGTCGAATTCCTGTTAACGATTCAAGCAATTAAAATATACTCCCTTTGGTCTTAGATGTAGAAGTTAGTTGTGAAGTTTGTTTTGGTCCCGATGTCCTTTGTTTTTCACATTTATTATTATTATTGTTATTATTCTCTGCAAACTACCCTTATTAATATACACTATCAATAAGGGTAGTATTCAACGTAAATGATTGAAAGGAGGGATATTTGATGCAAGCTAACACTAATTTTTTTTTATAAATAATTAACCCATTTTCTTAGTTTGTGTAAATTGGTTGTCTAGGTTTAACATTCAGGATTGAACGGAATACATTTTTTTTTTGGGAGGATTTGAGTAGATACAGAGTTTCAGTAAGTTTGTTTTCAAGGTTCTCAGAAATTCACGTTATTTCTAACGCTAGGTGGGTGGGCTCCCATGCGTTATTCAGAGTCTAAAGAATAACCATGTAGTTCTTACTATAATTGACATGCTTATAAGTGTTTAAATTACGATTTTTTGGTTTAGACCAGGTAAGAGATGTTCTTGTTACTGATTAACGTGGCTATTCTGTGTGGTTATGGTCAGTTATCCGGGATTGCAAGGAGCCAGCGTCAGATGATGCACCAACTGGACAATCTGAATAATCTTCTCCAGGGAAGCATGGCAAACAATTGTGCTGGCCAAACAAGAACCTGCAAGAGAACCATGGCTGCTGTTGAATCACAGTCCAGTGGTGTGCGTGTTATGATGACTCTGGCTATGGGAGTTTTGGGGATCTTCTTGGTGAAGGGTTTGGTGAACAGAAGTTGATAATATGATAGATACCCACTGCAAATTCTGACTTTGGCCTTTCTTCGATTCATAACATTCTCAACCTTCAATAGTTAAAGAAAATAGATTCCTTTTTAAAGTTGTCTTCGCTAACACCATTGCTTTATTTGATTTTTTAAGAGATGTTACATGCCGATTTAAATTTGATATAGAAAAGCAGTATTTAGTTAATATATAGTAAGTAAAATGTACTTCTCTGATATTGATTTAAGAGCTACTTAACTAATAGAGATAAAGGAAGGTAAATAAATTATGTTATTCTAACAAAATTATCATGAACTTTCTAAATTTTTTTATATAATATTAAATTATATATCTGTTTATAAAGTGCATGTTATTTTGGAGAAAACTAATAAATATGATAAATGACATATATTAATGTCTTACGTTTAGAATCAAAATTAACTTTTTATGTGTCTTTAATTTTTAAGTCTTTGTTTTTTTTTCCCCAATAGTAGGGGAAAAAGCCCAAAAAAAAAGAGGAGAAAAATTAACAAATATTTTTAGGTCATTATTAGCTTTATCAAGTATTAATAATTACACAAATCAACAAGCTATTGGTCGATAAGGTAAGAAATTTTACCCGTAAGTAGGATAAAACAAGTTTAAATCCTGAAAAGCGTACTTGTTAAAAAGGTTTTAACCTTAATACTTTGATCTTACAGAGATTAGTTTTAATTTCAAAATGATTTAATGATACTTTGAGTTAAAAAAAATAAAAAAAGAAACAAGAATCAGACAAGGTGGGAACTTGATAAGATGCAAACCGAAATTGAAAGTTCGAAGTAAATACAAACATGCCTAAGCCAATGCAGCATGTGGATATGGATTCCTTACTCCCTGTCTTTGTATTCGACCTGGAGAATGACATTTAAGTCTGAAAATATAGAACTAATGAAATTTAGGTCTTCAAAAATATTTTTTGCAAAATGAGTCACATATAGCAACTTAGATAGTTACAAGTATGAATCCTAATAGCAAATTGAGAGTACATTTAAAATTTAAACATCTCATATATGATTATGATTCCTGAATTTGCAGTTGTCTAAATTAATATTTGCAACTCAATTTTTAGCGAAAAAATTGTTAAAACTGTAATTGTCAATAATTCATTCATTTGAAATCTATCTTTTATTCTCTCTATGTAGTATTGGGATTGAACACATGTCAACTAACGATGAGGGGGAATGATAACGAGGTAAGATAAATTTAATGACATTTATGCTAAAAAAGAAATTGGCCAAGGATGAATTACAAATATCGGTTTAAATAAGTATAAATACGAGAGTTTTACTATATACTACCTACTAATTCTTAATATAAAAACTAATTCGATATTCAATTTAATTCTAAATATAAGATCTCAATACACTTTGTTTCTTATATTTATCTATTTTATTCTAAAGTGGTCCTTATAGTATTCTAGCTAATACTCATATTAAAAAAGATATTTTAGGAAAAACAACACTTATTTACTACAAATCATTAACTTAACTAATTTTTTTAATCTATTCAAATTAGTTAATTAACTGTTATATTAAGTGTTCGAGGTAGTATATTGGTTATACCACTCTAAATTTGAAGTTTCCATGAACTCATCTCAATCCTTACTATTCCTTCGATCCTAAATATGAGACCCATTATGTAGTGTAATTATGTAATGTAATTTAGACTACAAAATAGGTCTTATATTTAGAATCGGAGGTAATTTAGCTAATAATAGACATATGCCTTTTTCCCCATAATACAAGATAAAAGAAACAGTGCCTAATAGTAACTATATTTAGTCGAACTACTACTTCTATTGCTTAATATAAAAATTAGTAGAAAAATTGAATTTATTCTTAAATATAAAATCTCAATTCATTGTGTTGCTCTTTTTAATCCAACCAATCCTACTAATTATATATGTTAAAAGAGTTCGTATCAATCCAAATTATTTAAGAGGGTGTTTTAGAAAAACCAATATATATATTTTTTCCAAATAACTAATTTAATTTTTTTTTTTTAAGGTTAACTACGTTTTATATTGTGTGTGTGTGTGTGTGTGAGAGAGAGAGAGAGAGGGAGCGGAGATGGAAAGTTACAATTCAGCAAAAATATAGTATTAACGAGGTTGTTCATCAAGAAAACGCCCGGGTAAAGTCCTCCTTTGATGATTCGAGCATGAACCAGCAAGAGAGATATCTGATTCAAGAAAAGGCCTCGATGCAGTTGCTTGGACGGCCATGATTGTAGCCTATGAGCATAATGGCTTAGTAAATGATGCTTTAGAGCTCTTCAGATCGATGATTAGAGAAGGTCACGAAGCCAAACAGCTTTACTCTTTCTGCCATATTGTCATTTCAAGCTTGGCTTCTCTGGATCTTGGCAAGCAAATCCATTCGACTGCCATGAGATCAAGAGAAGTATGATTAACAATATATTCAAGAGCAGGAAGGGTTAAAGATTCAAACAAATATGCTGCAACAGGGATACGGTGTCATGGACTTCCATGATTATATATAGCTATGGCTCAGCGTAGTTTTGGAAAAGAGGCCATAGAACTTTTTGAAAAAATGCTGAAGTTCAATATAAACCTTGATCATATCACTTTTGTTGGTGGGCTATCTGCATGCACATATATGGGGTTGGCAGAAGAAGGTAAGTGCTATTTTAATTTGATGAAAAGCAAACATCATGTTGAATCCATCCATAGCCATTATGCATGCATTCATCATAGTAATAAGATGCTGCAAAATTTAGAAAGTCACTGAAGGATAATGCAGTGAAAAAAGAACAAGGATTTAGTTGGGTACCAGTCCAGAACAAAATCCATGTCTTTTGGGTTGAAGATGGGCTTCACCCACAGAAAGATGCAATCTACGACATTATTTCAAAAATCCGGGAGGAGATAAAGAAAACAGGCTTCACACCAGAAACTGATTCTCTATTGCATGATCTTGAGCAAGAGGTGAAGGAACAGATCCTCAGGCGTCATAATGAAAAACTTGCTATTGCATCTGCATAAATAAATACTTCAGAGAACATAACACAGAGGATAATGAAGAATCTTAGAATTTGTAATGATTGCCATTCCGCCATAAAATATATCTCAAGGCTTGTAGCCAAAGAGATTAGTAAAAGATGCCACCCGGTTTCACCACTCCAAGGATGGTTCTTGTTTCATGTAAGGATTATTGGTAGAGGAAAGGACAAAAATTTCAAGTCGAATGTTGCAGAAAAATTTATCCAAGACATACTTTACAGGTATTTGTATTGTAACTGAAACAAGATAGTATGTATACACATGCTGGCATTTTCACTCTTTTATATTGTATTAATTGGCTCTCAATTGAGGCTTTGCTTGATACGTAAAAGAAACAAGCTGAACAAGAATTTCAAATAGTTGCTTGTGCTTTGAGATTCAATGCTATGATCCATGCCTAGTCAATGTAATTTGCTAATGAGATCTCATTTCACCTTTTTGGATCGCACTTGCTGATGTAGAATCTTATAAGTCCATGTTGGATATTCTTTAAAGGCTATACATATATATACATACATACATATATATAGTGAAGGTATATCATATCATATTCAGACCAAAAGCTTGTAAAATGTTCTCTTTCATCTTGCAATTAACCCTGCTGAGTTGCAACTTGGAAAAAATTAATCAGTGATCAGTGCTGTTCTTGTTCAGATGAGCTATCTTTTTAATGGTACTTGCAATTGATTTCTTGTTTCACGAAAACGTAACTTGGATGGAGACCCATTTACAAACTTTGATATGATGTGGTTTCTTTGATTTGGTATAGGTAGGTTAGAATTTACATAATATTTTATTCAAATTTCCAAAGTATCTATGTTAGGTTGGGAAGTTCTGAATAATGAATATGGAATCATAGGTTATTTCCTTGTACGATATATAACGATATTCTTCTATCTATTATTAAATTTATCTTTTATATTATCAAACCCCGATTCTTCTTGACGCTAAAACAAAGGAAAATCAGGAATTTATGTACAAGGCAAGCAATTATTCATGATCTGATAGACATTTGAGTACAAATCTAACACAAAACTTCATAAACAATATTCTTTCAAGTTGAATGCATTATCAGAAGCTTACCTCAAGAGGAATTGTCTAGAAACTTAACATCCATCTATACGTTAGTGTCTTACAGGTTCATTTGGAATCTTTACAGTGAGATGCTCGGGTAACTGACTTTGAGGAGCTATTATGATGCTCCTATACAACAAACACAATTATATATAAAGTTAAGGTGTCCCTGAAGTTGTGTAGAGTTTGAATACATATCAAACATGAGTCTTCTATTTTTAAGCATGATTCTTCAAAGCGATAACTTTCTTCCAATCCTTACCAACTTATTCTGACCTTTACACACACACACAGATCACCTTGGACCAGAAAGCTCCATGGCCTGATTAAGCAGTGTAGAGTCATCAGTGAGATCAGAGTAGCGTTCTGAAGAAGAAAGCTCACTTGCTCTGCCCCTTGTTGATTCATCTCCCTTTGAAGCTTCCCATTTCTCTGCAAGACCATCTCCTTCAAGCATTCTAACCACTTCAGACATTTTGGGTCTATGAGCGGGAACGTACTGGGTACACAAGAGTGCTATTCGAACCATTTCTTCAAGCTCAATTCTGTCATAGTTGTTTCTAAGGTCCTTGTCAATCAACAAGTCAAGTTTCTTCTCTTGATGCATTTTCTTCACCTGCATAACATTTTCATAAGCCATAATTACCCATCTGTGCGCTTACCCAATAAAAATGATAAGAGATCGATTCTATAGCTTGATTACCCAATCAAGCATGGCTCCTTTCTGGTTAGCTGCTTTTCCAAATTCAAGAGCTGTGCGGCCAGAGATGAGTTCAAGGAGAAGGATCCCAAAGCCAAAGACATCAGTTTTATCAGAAGATTGACCTGTTGAGAGGTACTCTGGTGCTATATGGCCTACAGTGCCTCTAACAGCTGTGGTGACATGTGATTCCCTGTGATCTAATAGTTTAGCTAACCCAAAATCCCCAACCACTGCTTCACAGTACTCATCAAGCAATATATTTGCAGCCTTCACATCCCTATGAATAATCTTGGGATCACATTGCTCATGTAGGTATACTAACCCTCTTGCTGCTCCCAAAGCTATCCTCTTCCTTGTGCTCCACTCTAAAGCAGGCTTCGCTGCACCAACCAAAAGAATAACACACAATCTTCACTCTACCTCAACACAGATATATAGATATAGAAAGTTTCTGTATACGTATTTGGGGAAAACCGTTTTGCAAGTACCTATATTTTCTCTCAATTTTTAATTTGGTACCTATATCTTTTTTTACTCTTGATTAAGTTTTTAACTTTGCTCTGTTAGCAACATTAGCCCTTGTAATTTTACTCTGAACAGGAGCTAATAGTACTAACAGAGCAAAAATTAAAAGAATTGATTAAGAGAGAAAAACATACAAGTAAGAAATGAAAAATTGAGAAAAAGTATAAGTATCTACAAAATGAGTATCCTTACATATTTCATCTCTAAAAGTTGGATGATGATGAATGTTGTGCTTAGGTGAACAGTACCTTCTATCAACTTTTCCCCCCTCATGTTTATACTGTCTCTTCTTTCAAATACTAAAACATCCCAGTGCAATGCATAGGGGAAAAAAGTCTGATTATGCCAATAGTTGTTGGTTTGAATATAAGTCATTTGATATCTTTAATACATGTTTTGCGTTTGAGCATTGTGGACAGGAGGAAAGCTTCTTGTGATTCAACACACTCAACAATGCTCGAATCTGAATTGGTCAGCAGTATTAAATACCAGATTATATCTATGACCTCCCATAGTAAAGTCGGTTGGTAATACCTTTGAGACGAGAAGCAACACTACCATTGGACATGAAGGGATAAACCAGGAGTCTCTCTGTAGGAGTGATGCAGTATCCATAGAGACGAAGCAAATTGCGATGCACAGCCAGGCTGATCATCTCCACTTCAGTCTGGAACTGGATCTCCCCTGTAATGGCACTGCCATCTCTAAGCCTTTTCACTGCTATGACCCCACCATTTGAAAGATAGCCTTTGTACACATTCCCATATCCTCCTTTGCCAATCAAGTTCTTGCTGCTGAACTTGTTCGTGGCAACTTCAAGTTCTCTTATGTGGAACTTTCTCAAGTTTCCAAGGCGCACATCTTCTTGCATTTGTTCTGAGATCAGAAACATCAATGAACAAAAACTTGTTATGATGTGGAACTAAGAGTTTTTGTTTGTTATTATGAAATGCAGATTATGATTCACTAACCATTAATGTCGAAGAAAACTTGTTTGCTTGATCTTTGTCTCCACCAGAGGAAGCCGAAGACCAGAGTTAGTAAGGAGACACAGCTTACCGCTAAAGCAAGTGCCAAGACAAGTTTGCGATTCTTTGGTTTACTGGTGGGTGGCGAACCTGGGCAAGCACTTCAAGCAACTGTATTAGAATGTAAAAAATTTACTATGCCCCAGAGTTCTGTAGTGCTTATGAGTTCAACTCTGTTTTTTATTCAGGAAAAATTGTGTGTTCTTTCAATATTTTCTCCACATGATATTTTTATGCATAGTTTTTTAGTTTTAAATTTTACAAAAATATGCATATTGTGCTACAAAGAAAGATATGTAGTTAAAAAAAAAAAGAAATTTGTAGATATATAAATAAAGAACATTGTTTTTTCATGAATAAATTATAAAGATATCTCTTTGAATTTTACTAAAATTATGAAAGGTTTACTAAAGCTAAAACAAAAAATTACAATAATATTAATTCTTGTTAAAATTGAAAAGGATTCTGTTTTATCTACAATACATACATAAATTCTGTTTTTAAATATTTCATATTTTAAAAGTATGTGTGTAATTCCAATAAAATTCAAGTAAATTTGTAAAATTTACCCTTCCATTCAGACGAAAATGTTTATCTTTGAAAGTCAAAGACAGATCAATAACCAAAAAAAAAGGACTAATTCAAAGGTAAAAACCAAGATAATCAAAAGCATAAAAAAGATCTGCAATATGCAGCAACTTTGATTACCTTGAGAGTTATTAAAATTAGTTGAAACTGTTGTTCTGAAGCACTGTTGGTCAGTCCCAGTGGCACAAATCTGGGGATTTCCTAGAATACTGTTTCAAGACATATAAAATATTTACTAAATAATGAACAGAAACTATATTCTTCACTTAATGTGAGAGAATAATTACAGTACAGAATCTCAAGTTAAAGATATCTGTATTTGTCTGTCCTGTTTGAATAATAGTTTGTCCTGAGTCATCTTTAACTCTGAGATCATCAACTGTAATTTTCCCAGGAAACAAAAGTTGAAAGTGAAGAAGTCTGATTAAAGAAAAAAGGCCTAAAGAAGCAAGTTAATTACTTGAAAGTTTTTGCATTTATTGTTGGTAGAGGTCCACTCAAGTTATTATAGGATACATCCCTGTGCAAAGTTCAGAAGTGGACAAAATAACAATCAGAAATAAAAATGATGAAGGAGAATAAGAAGTAGGGAAAAAATGAAGAAAGAAATAATACTACAGTAAAGAAGGCTTTAGGATACTCACAGAATAGCAAGCTGGGTCATGTCAGCCAAAGAGGAAGGTATTGGTCCTGTAAGACTATTATTGTTCAGCCTCCTGATTAAAGTTCAAATTCCAATGATCAGTGTCTAAAACAAGAAGGAGATTATATGTGAAAATTTTCTTATGAATATCAATCATTCTTCTTCAACTTACAGATAATTGAGACTCTTCATGTGGGAGAGACTCTCTGGAAGTTGACCAGTGAAGGAATTATGAGAAAGATCAAGAGTTTGAAGCTTTTGCAGCTTCCAAATCTCAGAAGGAATTGGTCCTGATATATTATTAGCTTGCAGGATCCTGAAAAAATATGTAAATGCATAACTTAGAACAAACAAAAGATCTTGTTATGATATGATCAAACCCATGAAGAGATGCTGGATATTTATATGTTCTTGTCAGATGTCAGATTACTCACAGATTCCTGAGATTGGTTAAGTTGCTAATGCTTGGGGAAAGAAAGCCAGAAAAGTTTTGGCTGGGAAATTCCCTAAGAAGAGGGAAGAAGAAATAATTAAAAGAAAGTGAAATTAAGAAATCAAAGTTGAAAGAAGAGTGTAAACTACAGTTTTGTTTGTATGACTTACAGGTCAGTCACAGAACCACCAAAGCAAGATACCAAAGCCCAGTTACAAGGCTCCACTTCATACATATCCCAGTTATGAAGGGCATTGTTAGGATCCTTCAAAGAACTTTTAATGCCAATAAGAGCTTGCACTGTATGAATATATAGCACAGGGACATTAGTTTTATGGTTTATGATTTAATTCTCAGAAATGAGAGAAGTTCCTATTACCTTCATTGTTGACGCCTTTAGAAGAAAGCAAACCAGATACTGAAGTGCAGAAGAAGACAAAGAAAGCTAAAATGGAGAAAGAAAGATCTCTTCTTTCCATACTGATGGATCACAAGAAACTGATGATTATAGGATCAAAGAAAGCTTCAAAAGAAATCAGATCAGGCTGTATCCGAAGAGGAAATGATAAAAAAGAAGGAAGGTGTTGATGATTGATAAAGTCAGCTCAAAATGAAACAGTACTTTGCCCTGGTTCATGTCATGTTGGCATCAGAAAGAGGAATCACAAGCATTCTTCATGTTATTGTACCAGAATGGCACTCACTTTCACTTCTCTTTCTGTCAAATAGAAAGAAAACCTAGCCATCAATGGTACTATAATGCTTCCTGCAATAAATTTTCGAAGTGATAATTAACAAGCAAGAAGTATGTCTTATAAGTTTCCTTGCTAAAATTTATCTGTCAGTTTCGTATGTGTATTTTTATAATTAACTTAGTTTGCATATTTCAAAATTTCCGCCTTAGCCAATCATACAAGGTGAAGGGAAAGAATATATGAAAGTGGAGCCACACGTATGACATTTGAAGATAAATGGAAAAGATGGTTGAAAAAGAAAGTTCCTTCAATCATGGATTGGTGCAGAAAATAAAAGGATTATTCTGTTTCATGAAAAATAAAAAGTATGAATAATAAACGGAGAGTGACAAGTGATGAAGAATCATTTGTTAGGGAATGTAAAAAGTTGCATAGTGATTTGTTTAATTACATGTAACAAAGTAGGCCAGAGAAGATAAAGAACACTTTAGTTTGTTATTCTAATTCTCTCAAGTTGTCTCTAAATCAAAGTTCAAGAAAACAGACAATTACTGTAATAAACTAACGAAAAGCATCTTGCTTTAAAACACAAAAGTGGTTCCCTCTTTCTCTTCCCCACAAGCTCCTATAAAGTCAGTATTTTTCAACACCACCTCTAAATTGGTATCAAGTTGAATGGGTTTTCATTTTATAGAAGTCACTTTATTAGCAAAAATTTACTTCAACTTTTTTTTTTTTAACATGTACATATGGCAAACTCTAACAACTGACTCCAAGAGAGATTATTGTATGAGAAACACTAATAAATGTATGCCTAGTTTTGGATTTCTGAAGAAATAGTATGTTATGTAAAATAAGTCCCATATTTCATGATTTGTAACTATTATATATATACATATATATGTTGACTTACGGGAGAATCTTAAAAAAATACTTTTGAATTTTAAAATTTTAAATCAGTCTTGTTCATTACACTTTAATAACAATTGACAACATTTAGAAAGCAGATGACAACATATTTTTTTAGTCATTCTTAATTTGGAATTTTAAAATTTTAAAGGCATTTTTTTAGAATTTTTCTTGATTTATTATGAATATAAGTAACTAAGCCCTGAAATAAATCATTGAAAATTTCACCAAATTCCAACTAAAACCAAATCATTTGGTCACTTTTGCAGAGATATGCTGTCTTTTCCTGTTCCTATCACTTGACTCCATCCCAATGGTTGGCCTTGAGATCTCTATTCTCTTCCTCACTTTGCTCCGCAAAAACCCTACTATTGTTGGCCCTGAGATCTTAAAGTGACATTTTTATGTGTGGTCATGATTTTAATATATATATGTGTGTGTGTGTGAGTGAAAAATAATTGTTGTGCTTCACTGAAACTGGCATATAAATGAAAGGAATGAGAGGGCCTACCAAAAAAGACCAGTTCTGAAGAATGCCACCATAAAATGATAATGCTTTAACGTTCAGACTCACTCAATGATAATAAGAAAATAAGAAGACAAACATAAAGCTTCCAAAGTTGTGGAGATTTGAATCTCTCTTTCCTTCCCCACACTGTTCCCTGAAATGCACCCATATCTCCCCAATTCAGTGAATTCTATCTTAACTTTATCATATACGACACTCTTGTACTTGTAAAGCACTGATATTATTCATCATGATCTCTGCATATCATCTTGTTTCAAACATGTATATACACACACTCCTCCAATTCTAAATATATGATAGATTCAATCTAAATGTAAGTCATGTTGTAACCACCGAGCGCTTGGATCAAGTGGCAAGAGTTATTTCATCTTAACCAAATATCACATGTTTGATCCTTTGGGAAAACAATAGCATAGGTGGTAGGGTCACCGCCTACATAGATCTTACCATGACTCGATCCAGATCAATATATAATTTATAATTTCTTGAGGGGTTGGTTAGAATACCGGATGTATACGCAAAAAAAATAAAAGGTCATCTTATTCTATGTGAGTTGCATACTACTCCATTAATATGGTTAATAATAAAGGTAAAATTAAAACAATTGACATTTAAAAAAAAAAAAAAGATCAAAGATGTAGTAGTTAGAATTATTCTATATCTTCAACCGAAGGGGATGTTTATATAGAGGCAGTTCATTATAGAGAATATGAATCCAGCAATGTTAAGAAACGTCTTCAATCAATTATGTTCACCATAAAGATCAGAGTATAAAGGCAGAATAAGATTTGAAGACAAGGTTATTTAGACGTTCTAACTTGACGCATTTACATATCTATCTTAGGGAAGCTGCATGCATATATAGTTATTGAAATTTTGTTACTAATATTTTTAGCTATAGTTTATATATATATATATATATATATATATTTAAATGAGGCTAGAGTATGACGATGAGGGGCCAAAATATTAGAATCCAAATTCTCTGCTATTCATTTATCAGCTTTTGCCCTGGTCCACTCACACAGTCACACAAAGTCTTACAATTATTTTTTTTCAAAAAGGAAAAATTATACGCATTCTGCCGAGGACAGGCAATAAGGCCAAATTAAAGAAAGAATAAATTCTCCACCAAGATCCATACTTTTTTTATATGTATAGAAAGTTTTGGACACTAGCTACCTGTATTTTGCTTTGCCATTTTTAAGGGCTGCAGCATATTGATATTCCATTTACATTCTTCAAACCACTCCTTATTTCTTTTTCCCATTGGAAAAGTGTTAAGAGGCCTTCAATTATTTCCCATCGTTCAATGCGTCTTTAGATTCTTACTAAATGATTAAATAATACTCATCCGATTCTTAATATAAAATCTATTTAACTAATTTGATTAAATTAAAAAAGTTAAGTAAGTTAGTTAATTATAAGAAATATGACATGTTTTTCCTAAAACACTATAATTATCTTCCTTAATATTCTATCTCTCCTACTTGATTATGGTTGAGAGAGTATCCATAGGGGTATTTTAGAAAAAATTAATAAATATGAGAAATAGGTTTTATATTTAGAACCAAAATTAACTCAACAATTAGGTTTTATATTAAAAACCAAAGAAGTAATACGTTTCTGCATCTCAAGAGAATTAATTAGTCGTTAGCTATTGGTTGGGAAATACCGTCTTGTTCCACCCAAGATGATGATAATAATAATAATAATGCGTTGCTTAAATCACAAGCTCCAGCCATGATTTAAAACAATAAATTGCTTGTCGAACCCTAGTGAATATTAATCAAGTGAAGAATAGTTCAGAAATGCTTTTACAATTTCTTATGAGTAAAATGTCTTGTTATAATTGTTCATATTGTTGGGTCTCATCACCACCCATCCAGGTTCAAGAAGAGTCATAACAAATCTTTATTTTTATTACTCTTGTTGTTTCTTGTTAATTCTCTCCGGCAATCCTATCCTTTGTGTAGTTTCCAGCACTCTGGAGTGGAGATGTGATCATAAAATTAAATAAAGACTAAATTAAACGTAACTTTCCTGAACTTAATGTTATATAAATTGATAACGTTCTTAACTTTAATTTGTTAATACCATGAATTTGAAGTTAGAAACTTCCGTACTTAAGCTTCCTTCCAGGCTTCCATATGATTTCCATAGAACATTCATCATACATTCAAAGAATTTGCAGAAGTAGGCCCAAGACCAGTTATGTTGGGGGAAGACGATGCTTAGTCAGAACTTATCAGCTTCACGGCAGCCCCGTCAACTTGAAGTAGCAGCATCACATATCATTTAATGGAAGCACTATAGCAAACAACAAGAATGGAATACAAAGAAAAAAAACTGTAAAAACCTAATTTAAAATTTCATAAAACTATAAAGACTGCGAGATTAATTTTATCTAAAATAAAGCAATGGCGCATTCTTTTTGGCCTAAACCCTTCTGAAAAGGATTGTTTTTTTTTATATATAAAAAAAAAGGTAATTGTGTTTTTTAAAACACAGGTAACCCGACTCCTGTTGGTTTAACGGAAAGTAACTTATAAAGTTAGAATATAAATGCCCTGAGTTAGGACCAAGAACAGCCCTTAGGGAGTCTGGCTACTTTCCTCTCTAACTATGTTCTCTATGTCTACTGTCCAGCAACCAGTTCCATTGGAGCATACCCTTTAACTCCTCAATAATTGTCGTCCAGTTCTGAAAAGGATTGTGATTTTTTTTTTTGGGCTACGCATAGGAATCCTTCCACGGAAATAATTCTATTCGATACACTATCAGATACTAAATATTGATACTTTTTCATGTGAAATTCAAATCTTAGTTTGTCATATTGTGAGGGACTAGTTTTTTTTACTAGATCCAATCCTGTTAGTAAAATTATTGTAATTAATAAATACAGGATTTGAAATCGGAGTTGTTTTATTGTATTTTACTTGTTCATCCCTAGTGGCTCAAGAAGAATTTTCAATGTCTTCTTATCTGGGCTTTGTCAGCTTGTTTGTCATGTGTGCTGTCTTTTACTTTCCGGTCTTCTATGCTTACATCCACTCCAGCCCAGGTTCAGCACTTTATTTGGGTTGTTTCTGTAGTGCTCTAATAAAACGTTATAAAAAAAAAAAAAGGAAGAATTTCAATAAACTCTCCTAATAGCTAATTAATATCAGTCAACTATCAAAACATTTTAAAATTTCAATCAACCCTCTTGGACCCAAATGAAATTAAAATTTAAAGGTAAAAATACAATCATACTCTTTCGTTTTAAAAATAAATAAATATTAATTGTTACTAGAGCTCCAACCTCTGATGCCACTTGAGCATCGGGGGCCAAAGGATTTTTTTTTTAAAAAAATAAGGTGGTTAAAAGAGAGTTTGAACTCTCAACCCATTGATATACCCAAAAAATATATGACTACTAAGCCAACCAATCCACTTAGTCATATAATGTAAAGAAAAATATATATAACAAACAAATACAAGTATCTAAATGTAAATGAACAAGTGAAATTCGATAATTTATAAGTAAAATTCAGAAATTTATAATAAAAATTTGGTCATTTACAAAAAATATAAGAGAAAGTGAGTATTTAGGTATGAATAAGCATGTAAAATTTGAAGATTTACAATAAAAATTTAACGATTGATAATCCAAAATAGGCAATTTACAAAAAACATAAGAAAATTCACAATCCTAAATATAAGTGTTTAAGTATTAATAAAAAAAGTGAAATTTAACGATTTACAGCTCAAATTCCAGGATATACAAGAAACATAAGTATTACAAAACACGTAAGAGAATTCACAATCTCAGAATGTAAAAGTAGACTAGGAATGGCAACATGTGACTAGTAAAGCATTTTTGTTATATATATATTATTTACAGTTGAACATTTGTTCTCTTTATTTTGTTATATATATATTTTTTTCATCATATAACTAAGTGGATTGATTGACTTAATGGTAAGAATTAATATTTATTTTTAAAAAAAATAAAAAGAAAGAATATTATTATATTTTTAGCTTTAAAAAGGGGGTATTATTCACTCGCAGAAGCAAAGCTGTAAATTTTTTTAGGACGTCCGCACGACGACAATGCATTAAACAAAGAAAATAAATCCCAGACAGAAGCTTTTTAACTGGAAAATTATAGTAAAATAGAAAATAAAAAAATTGAACCAAAAAGAACAGTAATAATAGAATTAAGATGGCATGAAGCCTAATTCAAATGTTTATATAAAACCTTAATTCATTTTTTCACATATTTATTTATTTTTTTAAATTAATCTTTGTAGTAGTGTATATGTTAAAAGTTTTATCAAATGATAGTTCTACCAAATACACATAATTAACAAAAATATTTTAAAGAGATAATATATGTTTTTTGTAAATAATTACTTTAACTAATTTTTTTAATTTACTCTAATTAGTTAACTAATTTTTATATTAAGCATAGTTTCACATTTATTGATTCTGTATTTGTTTAGTTTCATTCGATAATTTATTTAAAAAAGTTTTAATCTGAAATACGATTGATTCTTTTATGCACCGAATGACAGAATTAATAAAATATTGTGCTCGAAGAATTGATAATCAAGATGTTTTTCTGGTAAAAAAAAAAAGGATAATCAAGATGTTTATCTTGTTTTGTCGGTCAATTTCCAATCTTTATCTTTTCTTGATCATAATTTGAATTTTTGATATTTATTATATCAAAATTTTTAATTATATATAGTTTTGTGTCTTATTTTTAAAATAATATTATTTAATTATAAATTTATATATATATATATATATATAGATATATATATAAAGGATGTTTGAGAACTTGATGCTTTAAGTAGCTTGGTTTTTTAAACATCAAGATGTAACAACTGGTGCGGGTACGTAACAAGTGTTGGTAAGAAGATAGACTGGCCCATTCGCGTCTCAAAAATCATAAGTGCCGGATTTAGAATTTTTCTTTTAAATAGGAAACAAGTTAAAAAAAAAAGAGAAATTACAAATAAAAACCCGTCAATGTGTAAAATTGTGATTTGGGACCCTAAATTTAGAAAATAGCAAATAAGGACCATGTCCCACTTTTACAAATATGAAATGTGAGTGAAATGTCTAAAATATCCCTCAGTCAAATTGTGATTTGGTCGACTGAAATTGTCATTCGTTAAAGTGAACTTGTCATTTTTCATAATCAACTCGTCATTGGCATACCCTTAGCCAAATTGTGATTTGGTCTACTGAAATTGTCATTCGCTGAAGTAAACTTGTCATTTCTTATAGTCAACTTGTTATTTGACTGAGAGGCATTTTAAACATTTCACCACGATTTCATATTTACAAAAGTAGAATCGGCTCCTTATTTGCTATTTTTCAAATTAAGAGTCTCAAATCATAATTTTACATATTAAGATGTCTTTATTTGTAATTTTTTGTTAAAAAAATTCATCATGTGGGACTGAAAGTTTAAATGAATTGGTCGTTTAGATTTTTTATAATTTTTTTAAATTTTTTTATATAATGTTAATATTATTAATATTTTAAATTATTAATGATATTTTAAATATTTAATTATTATTATTTTAAAATTAAATTTCATAAAACAATTTGATTTTGGACAATAATTTGTTTAATTAAATTTTTATAAAAAAGAGTTAATTTGGACTTTAATAATAATTTGTCTTATATTATATGAGTTGATATTTTTAAATTATATATATTTGATAAGAGCGTTCTTATACTCATATAACTTGTGATTTTATAATTTAAATTAAAAATTTATGAGTTTCAATACTACAAAATTTAAAATTGAAATTTCTATGAAGAAGAAAAATTTAATATTTTTGTTACTAAAGAAGAGTATACTCATAAAGAAGAACAATTGATGACATAGATGATAAAATTTCAAAAAATTGATGATAATGTTTGTCTATTACATATTTATACTGTTGATGAAACTTTTGGATGTTATTTGTCTTGTTGATGGATATTTTATAATGTTTTTGGATGTTGATGGATGTTTAGATATACTAATGTTTTGGGTTTGTAACTTAATTTTATTCACACTTATGTCTTTTATTAATAATTTTATTTTTTATAAAACATGAAAAAATATATTTAAAAAATTCTATTTTTCAAGTCCACAAATTGGCCTGACCTTATCATTTTAAGGGGATATTTGAATGAAAACCAAACCATAGTTTCAAAAGTAATTTTACAGTATGCGAAGTAAATATATAAAAAAATTTATCTCAATTTATAAAAAATTACTTCTCAAAAGTATTTTTACGTGATGACAAACACCTCATAAGTCGGGTCTAATAAAATGAAGGATTTCTAAAATTTCATCATGTAGTCCTCGTACTTGACAACGAACGAGTGAGATGAAATGAACGGTTTGGATTGACTGGCACGGATCAAGTGATGACAATCTGGCGTTCTCTTAGAGCCTGTCAGTGGCTTCCAGTCCAAAAAAAGAGAAGTCTATTAATGCCAGTGAATTAAAGCAATCGGAGATAAACATCACAGTTCCATACACACACTATCCCATGGAAGCCGTCTGAATGATCTCCATAACAACGATCAGGGCACGAAGCTGCCTTAATCATGGCGACTCAACCCGACAAATCGATCTGAATCCATGGGATCTTCAATATCTAGTTCTCGGGTATGCTCAAAAGGGACTTCTCTTTCACAGATCCACCTCCTCATCATCTTCAATACCCAGAGAAACAATGATCCAACACCTGAGGGACTCGCTTTCTTCCACCCTCGACTTATTCCTGCCACTCGCCGGTCGTCTTCTTGTTGTCCCCCACGGCCGCGAGGATGGCACATCCTCTGTCTTCATCACTTGTAACAACGCCGGAGTAAGCTTTGTTCATGGCATAGCAGACAACACTACAATTGCCGACATCCTCGAACCCACTTATGTTCCCCGGATTGTCTCCTCCTTCTTCCCACCACGTAATATCAAGAACTTTGAAGCAACTAGGGTCCCATTAGTGGCCGTTCAAGTCACAGAGCTTGTGGATGGCATCTTCATCGCTTGTTCCATGAATCATTGTCTTGCTGATGTGAAGCCATACTGGAATTTCTTAAACGCATGGGCTCAGATCTCTCGAAATCGTCTAAAGCAGAGAGCCCCAAATTCGAAGCTCGCTTCATTTGAACGGTGGTTTCCTCATGGTAATATTGAGCGTCCCATAGCAATCCCATTCAGGAAAATATTGCAGCATCATCTTAAGGAGTCAACAGATTCGATTCAATCACCTCCATTTTCAAGGAGGATCTTTCACTTCAAAAGGGAAAAAATTGCTGAACTCAAGGCAAAAGCTAATTCAGAGATAGAGGATGGTGCTATCAGCAACAAAATCTCGTCCTTGCAAGCTGTTCTTGGCCATGTTTGGAGGTCTGTGATCAAAAATCAGAATCTTAACACTGAAGAGGAAGTCACTTACAGATTCCTCATATCTGCTAGATCCAGAGTTTCCCACCCACCAATCCTAGATAACTATTTCGGAATCACAGTGCAATTCAATAAAGCGACGATGAAAGTAAGGGAGCTAGTGGGAGATGGGGGCCTTGGGAAGTTTGCTTGGCAGATGAACAAGGCAATCTCCTCATGCACAGAAGAAAAGATCAAGAGCGACTTTGAAGCTTGGGTACGAAATCCAACAATACGTACACCGCCAGGTGGTACAATTGGGAAGTTTATGATAACTGCCAGCTCCCCGAGAACTAATTTTTATGACATTGACTTCGGCTGGGGAAGGCCGGTGGCGGTTCGCGGCGGCTCAGCGAATGCAAAGCATTGGAAGCTGACGGTTGATGCCGGAGCAGAAGAAGGTAGCTTTGACGTTGAACTATGTGCTTCCCATTACTAGAAGCTTTGGCAAAAGACGCCGAGTTCATGCGCGCAGTGGAATCATCGTCGCCGGCGGAGTTACTAACGAAGAGTAAAGTAGCACGGTCTCGACTGTGACATGGGAGCATCAGTGTGTTTTCCATAGTTGGTCTTTTATAATAAGATAATCTTAAAACTATCCCTCTAAGTGACCTAATTCTTTCATAAGAATTACAATTCTTTGTGGAGGGGCCTTTTCCTCCAAATGTTACCTACAAAAATGAATTATAATAATATAATATCACATATCTCAAATAGGTGAATTCACTGCTTAGAAGACTAAATGCAATTTTTTCAGTCATTTTAGCGCATAGAATTCCAACACAACCTTAGATATAGTTTACCCTTAATTAATACAATTTGACCCAACTTAAGTGATGAGGAAATAGGTTTATATATGAACATCTATATAAAAACAGTGATATATATCATTTGAGCGTGTCATTTTAAATACTTGGCCTGGTCACGTTTGAGTTTCTAAGCCTTCACCTTTTTGCATAACACTATAAAAATCAACAAATTACTAATAAAATTTAGGAACGAAATTTCTCTGTCCTTGATTAATTTGACAACTAAATTTAGTAGCAGAATTTAATTAGCAACATAGGGCCTGTTTGTTTTTGTTCTTTGTTTTCCATCTTATAAAATTGTTTTTAAGAACAAGTTTTGGAAACAAAAAACAAAAAAAAAAAATTTGTTTGGAAAATAATGTTAAAAAAATCACATTTGAAAAAAAATATATAAAAAATTACATTTTACCAGGTGGTAGTTATTATTGGTAGTGATAAGTAGTAAGTAGTAGAGAAGAAGAGAAAAAGATTTTTCTAATTTTTCAAAACAAAAAATAAAAAACACAAACAAAAACAAGAAAACATGTAAAAGTTGTTTTGGTTTTTTAGTTTTTAAAAACAGATTATTGTTTTTTTTTATTTTTTAAAACAATCAACTAAAAACAAATTACCAAACAAGTTTTTTTGTTTTTTTTTTTTAAAATTGTTTTCAAAACAAGAAACCAAACAAGCTCATAATTTTTCCATGAATAATTTTATTGTGACTAATTGTCATGTTCTGATGTAGATTTCTATAGTTAACTTAGTTTGCATGTTTCAAGTTTTACCTCTCAGCTAATCATGCTAAGTGAAGGGAAAGAATATTTGAAAGTGGAGCCACAATCATGACTGGTTTGGTTGGATGAAAATGATAACAAGTTAGGTAGCAAAAACATGCAAATGATCATATTGCCCTTAATGAGTATTTATTGATTAAATTCATTTGAATTTAAAATTTTAATAATCAATACAATAATTCAAAAGATGAATAAAAGTACATTATAATTTAATTAATAAATATAAATATTCAATATGAATATAAAAGTTATTATATATGTTCATTAAAAAATATTATAAAATTGCGTTTTGTTAAGTTAACATACTGAATCAAATCTATTTTATTTCAAAATTGATGGCCCTATCTCATGACAATCATTAGCAATAACAAGACTACATAAACAACTAAATAATATTGAACAATAATGCATCCGAAATCTTGCCAATCCAACCTCAATGAGTTTATTCCGAAAACCTCTCTCACATATACTCTTCTCATCCTATTTATAAGGGGTGTTTGGATACTCTAAAAAATGCTTTTCAGAAGCACTTTTTCACAAATCGAGATAAACTCTTCCACATATTTACCTCGTAGACCGTAAAATTACTTCTGAAACCATGGTTTAGTTTTCATCCAAACACCCCCATAAGGTATTTTTGACATATTGCACATAAAGTTGTGGTGAACAGGTTAAAAAACTGCCTTTCAAGCATAATCTCACCAAATCAATACAGCTTTGTTCTTGGCCGTACTAGTTCAGATAATATCATTGTTGCTCAGGAGGTAATTCATTCCATGTGCAATATGAGGGGAAAGAAAGGTTTCATGGCCATCAAGCTTGACTTGGAAAAAGCCTATGACAGAATCAAGTGGAGTTTTGTCATAGATTGTCTTAATGAACTTGAAGTGCCCGATAAGATCAAGCAAGTCATCCAAGCCTGCATCTCTTCTCCGTCCATGCAAATCCTCTGGGAGGGTGACAAAGCTGAGAGTTGTAACCCTTCTAGAGGGCTCCGGTAGGGAGACCCCCTCTCTCCGTATCTATTTTTGATCTGTATGGAAAAACTAGCTCACATCATCCAGCAAGAAATTAACCCAGGGAGATGGAAGCCTATCAAGCTAGGTAAGTTGGGTCCTCTAATTTCTCATTTGTTTTTTGCTGATAATTTGTTAATTTTTGCAGAGGCTAGCTTAGAGCAGGTGGCAGTTATAAAGGAATGCCTAAATCGTTTCTGTCAAGCCTCGAGACAAAAAGTAAATCAGGGAAAGACCAAGGTGTTTTTCTCTTGTAATGTTAATCATACTAGAGCCTCCAACTGTGTGAAGAACTGGGATTCTCCCAGACTACTGATCTTGGCAAATACCTGGGTGTTCCACTTCATCATGATAGAGTCAAGAATGAGACTTACCACTTCATCATAGATAAAATAAAGGCCAGGATCAAACACGTAGAGAGGCATTAAAAATAACTGGAGGTACACCAAGGAGGGGATCCAGCAGTTCACAGACGACTATGGAGCTGACAGTGTTAGCTGGAAGTGGGAGAAGAGTGGGAATTTCACAACTAAGTCAGCGTATATGGCCCTTAACCCTCAGCTTGAAGATGCTACTATCAGTTGGAATAGGATTTGGAAACTTAAAATTCCACAGAGGTGCAAATCCTTTGCTTGGATTATGATGCATGAACGAGTTCTCACCAACCAAAGGAAATTTAACCAAGGCATCCACCAGAGCGGGCTATGTGATAGATGCAAACAATGTCAGGAAGATGAAGCTCATGTGTTTAGAGACTGTCCTGAGATACATCAGTTCTGAGAAGGAATTATTAAGCCGCACATGCCAAATTTATTCTTCCCTTGCAACTTCTCGAGTTGGTGCCAGTTTAACATGAAGGGACTGGTTGGGCTTGCTGAACCAGGGTGGAAGGAATTGTTCATAATACTTTGTTGGCTTCTATGGAGAGCTAGGAAGGAGTTCATGCACTTAGATATACCCACTAAGTATGACACGATCCTCAAAAAAGCTAAAGCAATTAGAGACTGTATGAGGTCGTCTATAGTGAAACTACAGGGTACGAGAATGAATATGGGTTTGCAACATGTGACAAGATCAGACACTGGAAACTTAGCCAACACCCTTGTAGTAGAGATTGACGTTGCCTTCTTAAACTGTAACGGGTTGGTGGCTTGTGGTGGTGTGGCAAAGCAACAGAACGGCGAAGTTCTTGAAGGATTTCTTCTCAGACTAGATAAGGGCGACCATCTCACAGCAGAACTCTGGGGATGTTTAATGGGATTGAAGCGCGCCTAGGACCTGGGCAAACGAGACGTGATTATTCGATGTGATTCAACAGAAGCTACCAGGCTTATCTTAGCAGAAACTAACAACCTGCATGTTGATGAGGTAGTCATTCGCGAGATTAAGGCTATGCTAACGAGGGATATGAAAGTAGTAATCCAAACTATCAGTAGAGAGCACAACTTTTTGGCGGACGCCCTAGCTAAGAAGGCAATGAATAGCCCAATGGGACTCCAAGTTTTGAGCAAAGAAGCTGTTGAGTTCTGTACAGCTCAATCAGTCATAGTTCAATAGTGTTTTTATTCCGATGTATTAAAAAAAAACCTTAAATTGTATTAATTCTTGTTTAAAATATAACAACTTTATAATTTTACTAATATTTAACATATACACCTTTAAACAAATAGAGGATGAAATAATACATTCATATTAAAAATTTAATATAGTGATTTATAAATAGGACTGAAAAAAATATTTTTTTTCTTTGTCTTATAATTACACAAGAGGAGTAGCGTATTGCACCAACTCCCCCTTTCAAATTCAAAAACCCATGTTGCAACTACTTCCTCATGACTCCCAGGGATTGTGTCAGTTCATATCAACACCACAATGTAAGGTTGGAATTTGAATTTATTGATGAAATTCGAATTTACTCTGCAAGGTTAACAAAATTCGAATTTGTTAAATAAATTCGAATTTGCGTCCTGTTCGTCATCCCTTTCCGTTCACCTCTGTTTTAGAGCAATTTTCAAATCCAAACAATTCATGTGTTGGAGAAGAACCCTTGTCTTTTTTTTTTTTTTTTTTGAGCTGAAGGAGAAGAACCCTTGTCGTCGAACTTGGTGCATTTGAAGCAAAAAAAGCTGTTATACAAACAGTAAACGAAGCTGAACAGAAGAACACATAGGAATATCTAATGGATCTGGACATCCAGTCAAAGTGAAGAATACAACAATGGAAGTCGTCAAAGCTCAGGAAGGCTATCGGAAAGTTCAGATGGAGGTTGTGACGTCGCATTTATATTTTTTAGGGATAAATTTGTCTTTCACACAACCGGAGGTGGACCGGTGCGGATGATCAACCAGTTTAGATTATTACGTTATAATTGGTCATATTTTTTCTCTCAATTATTATAGATTTGAATAAATTTTAATAATGATATTAGTATCAATAGTTATTAATTTTAATTATTAAGAAATCGTGAAGATTATTTAAGTAAAATAGAAGGAAAATTAGAATATTTTACTCAAAATTCTTTTATAATTTCTTTTAAGTAAATGTCTTGTTATAATTGCTTCCACAGTTTCTGGGGGAAAAAAACATCTTGGGTCTCATGAGTGCCTCTTCAGATTCAAGAGTGATATCATATCTTTTACTATTATTATTACTACTACTATTACTACAATTATTCCTTCCACCATTAATTAATTAATTAATTATAGATAACATCCTTAACATTTGAAAATTTTTCATGATTATCTCCCAGCTTTTACAGTTATACAAATAACTCTCCTATGATTAATTTTGTTCATTATTTATCCACACATAACGTAGAGTTTAGTGGGCTATTTGCTA